ACCTAGAGATCCCAAAGCCTAGAGATCCCAAGGCCTAGAGATCTCAACGCCCAGAGTTTCCAAAACCTATAGATCCCAAGGCCTAAAGATTCCAAAGCCTATAGATCTCAAGGCCTAGAGATTCCAAAGCCTAGAGATTCCAAAGCCTATAGATTCCAAAACCTAGTGATGCCAAAGCCTGGGCACCCCGTGTCTATATATTTCAAAACGTAGGGAGCTGTGTCTCAGCAGCAACGCCGTACCGGTTCTACAAACTGGAAGCGATCGCGGTTGCAGTTTCGTGCACGCAAGAATAGCGACGTTTAACGAGCCGATAGAACAGGAATCTCGTCGCGGTTCTGCTCCAATAGCCCTGCTGCGTGGCTCGTGTTCGACAATACCCACAGATTCGATCGATTCGCGAGCAATCTGCCTACTTCGACATTAAATCAAAAATCGATTTTTGTCTTCTGAAAATATCTAAACAATGTTATGGTACTCCTGAACCAATCTCAATACCTGAACACCGGAAAACAATTACTCCGTAATTTTACTTAACCTAAAAGGTTAACAACAATCCCATTTCGAAAACGCAATTTACGGTCGAAAAAACAGATTTCCCTCGCATCGCGAGCACCGTACAGAGGGTCATTATTTATAGCTCCCTGGAGAGGTCGGTCGCAAAGGTGGCGTTTAATTATTACAAATTATGAGAGCGTTCCAGCAGGAAGCAATGTTTTCCATATTCATAGCAAACGGATGTTCTCGGTCCGGAGGCGAAGCCTCCGTTCCACGTGCGCGCCAGCCGATCCAACCTTTTGTCCGTATTCACTGTCCCGTACACGTGCGGACAGTTCCACGGAACTAACTCGATTAAGACGCCGTCGCCTTTTCCACGTACACTATGTTCGCAATTACGCGAACACGTGGACCGATAGTCACGCGTTGTCGCATATAGAAAGCGCCGCGACGACGCTGGCCGATTTTCTCGATTTACCTGCTACGTGATTGATTTATCGAGACGGTCCGCGAGTGACAGAAATCCATTCGACAGGGAGCACTTCGGATTAGAATTTTCAAAAATATTATTTTAGAAGAAGAGAGAGAGGTGGAGGTGCACTATTTAATGAATCTTTAACACTAAACCTATCGCAACTGATCAAATTACCTTTTTCAAACTTTTCTAGTCAGTTCTTGTACACAGTATACGAAATCATATCACAATTGTTTTCGTCCATTGTACAATTTAATTCCACGTAAAAGATTTCTGCATTTCGTCGAAAAACGTGTGTGTCTTCAAGACTAGTTACTTCCCGTTGAAAAATTAACGAACATAGGAACGAAAAGAAGAAACGAAACGATAGAAACCCGAAGACGTAAACGGTATGCAACGGTTTCGAAAGCACCGAAAGGAAGTTATGCGAACGCGGCGAAGGCAGACGAGATTCGATCGCGATCTCGGCTCGGGTGTCCGAGCGACGAGGATCGAGAAAGGGTAAAACGCGATCTGGTACCACCCCGTTAAAAGCGCTGTATCGCGCGGGGTGGGGAGGAATGGGCGCGATAACGTTGAACGAGAGCAATTATATTTTATACGCAGGTGCGTGCGCGAGGGAAACGCGAGGAGGGGCGGAGGGGCGAAAAGAATCGTCGTTTCGTCGAAGAGCGATGGAGAGGATCCTCGGCTCGGTATAATGGAGGCTCGAAAAACGAGGCGAAGTGAGGTGAAGAGAGCTGACCTACTGTGGCAAGTGGCTCAGGGCCGTCGCTGTCCAAATCGTCCCCCCTCCCTTTATTCCCCTCCCCACCCCTCCCCTCCCTTCGTGAGCCTTCTCTTCATCCGGTACCACACGCAGTATTCAGGTCTCTTCTTTGAAGCTCTCCTGGCCACTGTGCTCTACCCCTTTGTACCCTCCGCCCGTCCAACCGCCCCCTCTTTGTGGTTTCCCTCCTTCAACCTTTGCCCTCGAGAACGATAGGACCGAAAATTGAAGTAACTTGGTCAGACGTTGGTGGAATACGTTCGTATTGTTCATTCAATGGGTACAATTTAACGGAGGAGGGGAAGGAAGTCTCTCTCTCTCTCTCTCTCTCATTGAAGAATTGGGAACTTTTGTGCCCTACATTCGTGCACTGTTGGAATATTTATTTATTTATTTATTTCGATATATACGGGCACAGCCCATTATGAAATTAATACAGCGTAGCAATCGTAAACATCCACAGTTGACAGATGCCGAGACAAACAAAAATGTACAAACAAGCAAACAATCGTAACGAAGTTATCGCCGGTGAATAGCAGAATCGCCGATAAAAAGGTTACGTGGCCTATGCTTAGTAGAGTCGATAGATGCAATAAACATATCGATGTCTGAATAAAGCAATTAACTACTAGCAATTAAGCACAGGCACACAGGACAACAGTATTCGGGTGACAGTATCTAGACGAGGAAACATATCGATGAAATAGATACGAGGACCTAGTGGTCCTGGGAGGAATGTGAATGGACACAATGGTCCGTGAAGAGTTGCACAATCAATTATATTAGTGAGAAGCTTCTGAATACTGTAACTCAACCTTTTATTTTACTGTAAAAATAAATGTACCGAGAATATATGCACGATGGACATGTCGGCAATCGATGTTGGATTGAAACGTCTCGATAGATCGCGCGAGGAGTCGAGTTGGTTAAATCGAGAAACTAAGGGAAGAAGCGAAGTGAACAGAGGCGAGACGAGAAACAAGAGATACAAGAAAAACGTGAAATCGACAAGGGCAGATTTATAAGGGAATTATTTGTATTCAATTAATCTTTACGAAATACGAGCGAATTATCTGTATTCGATCACTATTTACGAAATATACGTCTGTCGCTGCGGAATAACGAAACAGGAAGCTTAGGATATGGCCTGACCTCTCGAGTGCCTGAGAGGACCCGTAACGTAACTTACACGTATTTTACACGTGATGTTTTATTTATGTTAGAGACGAAATTTGCTGGGAATAAATTGGCAGACTTTCGCGATCGGTCGAGGTCCGTTGCGGAGAGCCTCTTTCTACGCTTGTTATGACTTTTTTTGACACAGTCGACGTAAACGCCCACCGGAGGAAAGTGAATCAGCGGTCGGAGTGAAAAGCAACCAGTGAAAATACGGAGCCCGGGTAGAATGGCGATTTGAAAGTTCTGCCTTTAGCTTCTAGCGCCGATTTTCACTTCTCCGATCGTGGGCACCAGTGGTTGACAATCGAAACCAGTCCGCCGGAGTGCTTGCCGTTCCTCCTCCATTTGAATACTTGATCACATTGGTCCCCGAACGCTCGAATTCAAGTATTTGAATACTATTCGAATAAATACATAGTCCGGAAATAAAATAGAATATATCAATACGTACATAGCTAGAATTCTGAACCTATTAATTGCTTCTGTACTAGTCTCGCAGAATTTCTCAAAAGTTTTCAAAATCCAGGCGTCCATCTCGGTCTTGTATCATCCTATAGAGTTGTTTCTAATCAGCTTCCAAAAGACGAAAAAGCTTGTGGACTCGAAAGTCACGATAGGTTTCAAAGAGTTTAATTAATACAGTACCACGAGAAAATTGACAAGACTTACAAGTCCCGCCAGTAAATAAAGGGTTAAACAAGTTGAACATGTGTTTAAGGTCTGGTTCATAAACACATAAACATAATAATAACGTAAATTTACAAAAATAACACGTGGTTCACACCTCGAACTATGCGTAACTGATCCGAACTGGTCTCGTACCGTTGATCGGCGCTTGTTTCCGTTCATCAGAACTCTTTACCGAACGTCATGCCTTTGTCCTACGTTCGAACGCATCGATTCTCACATTTCATCCTTAAATGTCGACTATACTTCCAGGACTCAATTTCGACGTTAAAAATATACACGACTCGACTTCCTACTAATTTATTATATCACAACTAATATTCGACTAATACTATTGGTTTAAGATACTCGTTAATTGTCCACGTAAAGAGTATCCCATCTTACAAACTCTCACCTCACGAACTCCCACCTTACGAACTCCCACCTTACGTTGACTCGTAAAATCTGTAAAAGTGGACAAATCGCCCGACCCTCGGAACGTCGTTTATAAGAAGAACATTGTGAAACCGCTTAAATCGATTACGAGCGAAATGTCTGGCAAGACCGTGAAAGTCAGGAGCTGAGCGACGTGTAACGACACTCGCCTTTGTTCTTTTGGGCTTGCCTTGTACCAATCTTCCCTTTCGTTTTTTGGTTTCAGATGTCCTTTATTTGAGCTGTGCTCAGGCCCCGTTGCCTGAACAAAACGAGCTATGTCGACGAGTAAGTAGCACGCCGTATTGCCAACACGCTTGTCGCTTCATTCCTTCTGCATTCTCTGTCCTTCGTTTAATCATTCGCGTTAAAGGGGCCGTACACACCCAGAAAGGGCAAACGTACCACTTCTTACATTCCTTTTTTTTTTTTTTTTTTTTTCTTTCTATTAAACAATATATGCGTCATTTATGAAAAGTTTCGGTTGCTGTAACTCGACGTTTAGCAGAAAACGTTCACGAAAGTTCGGTGCGACGTATTTCTTGCAACAGAAATTTTATTCGAGAGGAACTTAATACGGAGATTTCCCTTTACTTTAACACGATAATTCGATCAAAGTAGGTACAGGACCTTTGATCGCGCGCGTACCGGCAGTTGCTTATCGGATTACATTAACGTGATTAACAAACGTGACTGCGACAAAGCGATGCGCGAAACCTGTTTTCCTGTTTACGCGCGTCTCAGGCTGATGTTTAACGAGCTTTTCTTGGCCTTCGCGCGGAATCTTATGAATTCCAATCGGACATCGATTTCGATATCTCGTGTCCGGAGACGCTTTTTTATCCCGAGTAAAGAACGAACAATAACTGGAAAGTTTCGTCTTGCTAAACTTATATCGAAGACTCTTGCATCGAAGAGTCTCTCTCACTCCGTGGCATCGCGAGAATAAAGTCTCGTGGTAATTGTGAGGATGCGAAAGTGACATCACTCGTCCTTCGGTTACGTAAAGATATCGTCGCTAATATCGATGATCCTAATGGTTTATTACGCGGACGGTAGCCAATTCGATCATTGAAATCGGTACTTGTTACAAAAATTCCCCAAACGAAACGAAAAGTATAGAATCCCATAATCCAGAGTGTAACTATTCATCGATATCGTAGATGACGCCATTGGTTGCCTCTTCTGCATCGTGGCTGTTCAAGGCGATCTGCAATTTTGCAAAACGCGAATGCGCGCTTTTCGTTCCCGTTACACGATATATTTGACACCACGGAGCGGTTTCCGTTGCACGCGAATGGAAAGTTCTTAGAAAGTTTCGCATCGTGCCTCGTTTAACGTGGAACCGAGCCACCGGCTGCGGAGCGGTGTCGAAACTGTCTTAATATGGGATGCCGAGGTGTATCGATGATTTCGCCCGTGAAATCGTTAGGAAGGATGTCAACCCGTGCACACGTTCGTGATATTCCGAGGCACTCGCGTGTCTCGGACTTGCTTCGTTTATACCTTCAGAAATTCCTGGTGCACCCTTCTGTTGAGTATCTTTACATCCTGATATATTAACACGTTGACCGCCGGACTAATACTCTTGAAAATTTCTGCTGCGATTAAATTTTATTTACAGACTATTGGAAACTATTAGATTGTCTGTAAAGTCCGTGCCGATGTTTGGTTGGTACAGGCGGTACAGAATATCGCAGAAGCTTTGCTTATCGTTGTTAGTCCTGTCGATTTCTGAATCTGCTTTAACGATAGAATGTATCAGGTTGTCTGTAAAGTCCGGCCCTTAGAAGATGGAAAAGTTGCGGGACAAAATGGTACCTGTGTAATTCGATAAACAATATCATGCCCTTGAATTTTTCTCAAAAATTGCCACAAACTATCTGGACAACCCAATACATAATCAAATATTTTGATATTTGTTTTTGTAATATCACCGAGATTCGAGTATTTTATTCCCGTTTATTGTCTTCGACACCTCGAAAACTAACTTCTTCAAATCTTCAGTGAAAAGTAACTGTCACCCATATATCCAATTACGATATATTAATCCCTAAGTCCTATATTCTACGTATCCTTAAACAGTGCATGGTATTCACCAGCGTCCGCTTTGAATTCTTCTCTGAATTTACTAATTCTCAAACGTTCTGTTTATCCCCCCCCCCCCGCCCCCCCCTTCCTTCCCCGACCACGGCCCGGCGTGCACGCACGTGAAACGTTTCCAGCAGCGCGTCACGCGCGTGCAACAGTCACTGCGACAGCGGTGGCGCCCGATGCATTGACCCTCGCGCTAGGTTCCGCGAGTGCGTTTCGTTCGGACGGTTCCACGGCAGAAACCGACCAGAAACGTGAAAGCCCTCGGTCGGAACAGCTCGCGGCCGCTTCCGTGATTGCGCAAGTACGCGATCGAACGAGTAAAGGCACAATGGTCAGCGAAGGAGGCGCGGCGTCCGCGGAAAGGGGGAGGAGGAGGAGGAGGAGGAGGAGGAGGAGGAGGAGGAGACACGCCGTGAGCGAGCGACCGTCGAAATGGTTATTTTCGACGGTGAGGTCGTCTAGGACGCGTAAAACGAGAACTCGAGGACGTCCTGTACGCCGGTGGCACCTCTCACCGCTCCACGCGCGCGGAGACCAACAGAAAGAAAACGAGACGACGATATCTGCGAGAGGGAGGGAGAGAGAGAGAAAGAGAGAGCCAAGCCCAAAGACCTAACCCTAACGCGCGACCTCCCGTGTTTCCTGTTCGATCGACGATCGTTCCGCGACGAATGCCGATCCCCCGCCGCGGATAAGCCGCGATAGGAATTAAAGCCGCGTCGAAGAAGCCTCGAAAGGAGGAGAGCCGGCCGTGCGCGCCCCGATCGAAACTCTCAATGCTACGTAGTCCGACGTGTTGCCAAGAGTAGGTGCTACTCTGCTCGATCCGAGACGCGAGCTTTCGGAGCGATTTACTTTGGAACGCTCGATGGTACTCGTGGACTAGGGGAAGGTCTGGCTACGAGGACGGGAGGGATGCCTCTTGGAGAAAGGGTGAAAGCGTACGAGAGGGAAACCATCGGAGCTTCTCGCAGACACACAGTTGACTCCAGATGACATTAACGGAATATTTTCTTTTTGTATCTTTATATCCTGAAACCTAATGATCCAACCTGTAGGAAAGTTGCGAAGCACCCGCGCAATTTAATAATATCATTTTTTTCAGTATAGTCGGTACACCGACCATACTCGATTCGTCGATTGTACCGTGTCAACTGTTTTTCAGCGTCGATGAATCAGTGGCGCGTATAATCGTAGAAAGTCGCGGCTCGATTTCGTAGCCACAATTTCGTTTCTTTTCAAGGAAAATCTCCCGTAGCTCGTGTTTCCCGGAAGAAGAATCTCGACGCCACGATTTGACGTTCGCAGAAGAATCTTATGTAACCATAGCCATTTGTCAGATCCCCCCCAGCCATAGTCAATGAAATAAATCTAATAAACGAATAAAAGCATAATCTATAGTCAATAATTCTCGGTCCACCAAAATAAAAAATTATTTTTCAGTCCTATACGAATACTTGGTCATTCTATAATACTGCAACCCAATGTTCATTGAAACTGTTCAATGAGAATTCTCTTCAGATTCGATGAGAATTATTGCACAGCGCTCGTAGTGCTACAACTGCTCGTAAATTAAGCTGTCGAATTGTCGAAAAAGCCTTGGCACCGATGAATTTACAAATACAAAATTCAACTTTCGATCAACGTATTGGGTTGTCCGTGGAAAGTCCGTGTCGATTTTTGGTAGGTGCGGGTCTGGATATATCGAAATGCTTGAAAACAAATAACATGTATACATCCCTTAAAAGGTGGAACGGTTTTGGAACAAAATGACACCTATGTAATTCAACAAATACATGTATA